GCCTTTACGACCAACCAACGTTTGTTCAAGTTGTGGGCTTTCTGTGTGCATGCACACTTTTTCAAAGAACGGACACATTTCACCTTGACCTGGATAGCCCAGGCAAGCCCGATCTCATCGGATCTCGGAAGCTAAGCAGGGCCGACCCTGGCAAGTACTTGGAAGGGAGACCTCCAAGGAAGACCAGGGCCGGGACGCAGAGGCAGGCAAGAGCAAGCCACCTCTCTAAAACGTCCGAGCCCCACTAGGGGTCGCCAGAAGTCACAGTGACTTCCAGGCATACACACACACACAAATACGCAAACACAAAAGAATGGTCACATTTCCAGGGCACACAAATAAGAGTTGTTCATTCGCAGTGTAATCCTAAGCAAACTCATGCCCTTCGAAGCCTACTGACTTTTAGAAGGGGTCCAAGAAACCAGCCAAAGGTCTGGTCTCCATGGGTTCCTTTTCTTCACACAGCCTCTCGAGATAATTCATCTTCCCAAATGCTTCATAACTACAGAAATACCCATGCGTATCCCGAGCTCGAGTTGAGGCCTACATTCCAGGTGTACACAAAGCAGAGCTACGATAAGCACAGGCAACTTGCCTGATCAAAAGAGTCTCGGAAAAGACAGGGAATGGAAAAGAGGATAAATCTTGCTCCTTCTCCTTGAGCAGTGGGAAGCCACTGAGCAAAGCCAGCCCCACTCCGAACCTGTTACAGCTCAGCAAGGAAAAGATGTCAAGGGAAGGTAGTGACGTACCAGAGAGCCACAGAACAAGCAGGGCCCGGAGCCCTCCTGTTCACAGACGATGCGCCCGCACGTCATGCAGTTGTTGATCAGCTTGTGCTTCTGGGCCAGGCACTCGCAGGGGTGGCGCCCAGGGAGCATGACTGCCAGTTTGTCTTGCCCTTCCTTTGCGTACAGGTTGACAAATTTGGCCTTCTTCTTGGAGGAGCTGCTGCCGCCACTGCTGTTCATCTCCTGGGCCTAATTTGACACAGAAGAAAACACACAAAATCGCTTCAAGGAACTGCTGGAAGAGGAAACAGCCAAACCAGAATCCACCATTTGGGGAGCTTACATAATGATTATGGATGATCGTAACAGTGGAAAATAAAAAACACAACTGTCCCATGTCAGATGTCCCAGTAATTGGTATTCATGCTACAGCGTCTCAACAGAGAAGGGAACGCGTTATCCCCCCCGCCTGCTAGGGAGCGATCCTTACATTGCAGTTATCTGGATTTCCACCTTCCCAACTGGCTTCACCCTCTACTGTGTCTCAGCCAGGTATCTTCTGGCACAAATTCATCTGCCAAACGTCACAAACGATTAAAGGGAGCCCTCCAAGATGCCGCAGCGCCCATCTTCAGCGGCAAAAAGACAAACATCTGCCAGAATGAGGCACCCTTACAGTGCCTCACTGTAGACTTCAAGAAAGCAACAGTAAGACGTATCAATTACTCTTTATAGTTTTCGTCTAGGCTAGGCCCAATAGGAACCTCCATGCAATTTCTCCAGGTTCAGAAAGTGTCTGCGTAACCCCCAGGAACTAAAAAGTTTAGCCCTCTAGGAGTGGAGCCTGTGCTTGGAGGCTAGCAACACACGGAAGATGAAGGAGGAGAGTTGGTTTTTACACACGGCTTTTCTCTGCCTTAAGGAGCCTCAATCTCCTTCCCTTCCTCTCCCCACAACAGGCACCTTGTGAGGGAGGTGGGGCTGAGAGAGTTCTGAGGGAACTGTGGCTGGCCCAAGGGCATCCAGCAGGCTTGCTGGGGAGGGAATCAAACAGTCATGAACACCTGGCACTCCCTGCTGCAGGAAGTGGTGGTGGCTACAGGTACAGACAGTTTCAAGAGGGGATCGGATAAACATACGGAGCAGAGGTCCATCAGTGGCAATTAGCCACAAGGTATAGATGAAACATTATGTCTGGGGCAGTAGTGCTCTGTATTCATGGTGCCTGCTCTGTATTCATGGTGCCTGGGGGGGGGGGACAGTGGGAGGACTGGCCCTGTTGGTGGACCTCCTGATGGCACCTGGGTTTTGGCCACTGTGTGACGCAGAGTGCTGGACTGGATGGGCCACTGGCCTGATCCAACATTGGCTTCTCCTCTCATGTTCTTAAACTTGGTTCTCCAGATTAGAGTCTGCCCATCTTAACCACTACACCACGCACAGAAATCTGTATGCCTAGGATCCGCCTAGGCCACTGGCCAGATCCAACATTAGCTTCTCCTCTTATATTCTTAAACTTGGTTCTCCAGATTACAGTCTGCCCATCTTAACCACTACACCACGCACAGAAAATCTGTCTGCCTAGGATCTGCCTAGGCCACTGGCCTGATCCAACATTAGCATCTCCTCTTATGTTCTTAAACTTGGTTCTCCAGATTAGAGTCTGCCCATCTTAACCACTACACCACGCACAGAGAATCTGTCTGCCTAGGAGCTGTATACAATTCTGGGCTTTTATCACCGTGCACAACAGAAATCCATGTGTGTGACATGTTAATCAGAAAGGAGTAAATTTAATCTGACTGGTATTATTATTATTGGAATCATATTGTCATTGCAGGGCTGTATTTTTCAAGCTGAAGTTCGGTTCCTGTGATGTCCAGTTTGTTCCTTGAAGCAAGAGGACTGCATTGGAAGACGTGGCACTTGGTGGACCAGAAAAAGTTGAACTTTGCTCACCACCAAGTGGTATCAAGCAATAACCAGTTACTTAACTGAATTCAAATATATCATCCTCTGCAAGTTTCTATTCTCTGTTATGCCCCTGTGTTTAGTCGTATAAATCCTGTTGTATTGTTCTGAGTATTAGAGGATTTGGGCTTAAAAGAAACTTATTAACTTACATTGTCTTGCAAGTTCTGTTCTGAATTTAGCCCCACAGAACTCACGCAGGCAGAGGTTGCATCTGCACTTCCTTCCTCCCCCCGCCCCAGTAATCAGAAAAATCTGAATTCATTATCCATTGCTTACAGTACTACAACTTTGGAGCCAATGCCAAGATCGACAGACGCAATGTGGACTGCATTGTTGTGGTTACCATTGTTGCTAGGAGGAATCCTGGTGGCCTGGCTATTTCTAAACTCAAAAGGAAACCTGCACAGGAGCTTCTACGTGTTTCAGCTGCACTAGATTGTCCTTTGCCTCCCTGCAGCCCTGAAAAGATCTTGTGTATTCTGGCAGGTGGCAAGGTAGCAGAACCCACTGGCCCAGTCCGGATGTACCAACCAACCACGCCACGCCGTTATAGCCAAATAATCAAACTAGGTCTTAAAAGGAGACTACAAATGGTGGATTGTATCTGGTTTGCAAACTATGGCTTGGGCAAAGAGTGGCACGGTGTCATGTCCCAGTCTTCACGTTTAGTAGCCCTGACCTAGATAGCCCAGCTTAGCCTGATCCCGTCAAATCTCAGAAGCTAAGCAGGGTCAGCCTTGGCTAGTATTCGGAAGGGTGCCCGCCGAAGAATACCAGGGCTGTGACTCAGAGGCAGGCACTGGCAAACCACCTCTGAGTCTTCCCTTCCCTTAAAAAGAAATCTAGCTCGTCACCGAGTAGTGCATAATGCTAAAAAAAAAAAAAAAGAGCTAGCCAGACAATCTTAGGATCTCCTGGCCAATGTTCCCTCTAACCTGTGGAGTCTTGTGAGCAAAAATTCTACTTTGTGAGCTACTGGCATTGAAGTTGTGAGCGAGCGATTTGGCTACTGCATAAATTAGACTGCACTGGAGCCATCCTTCCTGAGCTAAGACAAAAATGTCTGAACCAGATGCTAAAAAACTGTGAGCTAGCTCACACTAACTCAGCTTAGAGGGAACACTGCTCCTGGCACAATGCCATATGATAATTATTCATTATGATTAATTTTTTATTATTATTATTATTATTATTATTAACGTTTAGAGGCTTTGCTCCAACCAGGAAGGCTGCCTCACCGCAAAGGGAGTCATGAGTAAGCAGGAAACGCAGGAGCTCCGACGGCTTCCTAAAGCGCTCCCTCCTCCCTCCTTCAGCCTCATCTCCGCTCCCGGCCATCCCCGGCTACTGCTGTCAAGTTCAAGAAAATGACCCCCTGGAGATCTGATAAGCGAGCTGCCACCATGGCACAAATGCTTCATCCATCACGTTAAAAGCGCATTTGCCCGTGATCTGGCTTCGTGCCCCGGTTCGGTCGTAATTCCGCTCATATCACCTTACGAGCGGCACTAAATTATCCAAATGCCTGGATGGTCACTGTCAGCTTTGCGGTGGTTCTCTTGTCGAATTCGTGGCAGGGTGCCAGGCAGGGACAGAAAGTGTTTCAGCCCTGGGAATGGGAAAGGAGAAATGACGGATGGATTTGCGCTGGCAATATCGGGACTTTATTTTCCAGAAGAAACCACCGTAGTTTCCAAATGTCATTTTCAATATTTGAAATGTCAAAATTTTCCTGCATTAGTATTCAGGGAGCTGAAGGGATCGGGGAGGTGGAGAGGGGAACTGAATTTCATCCATTGATTTGAAATGATCAGCCCAATCTTTGGCTAATTTCTACCCCCTCGGGATTCTGCAGCCCCCATGCGGACCATGTTTGTATCGGGATATTCGGTTAATATAGCAGAGTTTTGCCCAGTCATAGAAGCATGATACTGAGTGCAGTAAATAAATCTCCCCAAGAAGTATATTGCAAAAGGTAAAAAATTACATTAATCAGGGCTCTTTTCGTAGCAGGAACTTCTTTGCATATTAGGCGACCACACCCCTAATGTAGCCAATCCTCCAAGAGCTTACAGAGCTCTTCTTACAGGCGCTACTGTAAGCTCTTGGAGGATTGGCTACATTAGGGGTGTGTCGCCTAATATGCAAAGGAGTTCCTGCTTCAAAAAGAGCCCTGCTTACCACAAACCGAGGTTTGTTATTGTGTCTGAATGCTGCTGCTGTACATGTTGGTCTTTGTCTATTATTTATTAAATCTTTATATCTCGCCTTTCCTTGTGGTTCAAGGCAGAGGAAGAGGAGGAGGAGGAAGAAGCAGGAAGGCTGAGGAGATTGGATTTGTACCCTGTCCTTCACTACCTGAAGGAGTCTCAGAGTGGCTTACCATCTCCTTTCCCTTCCCCTCCCCACAGCAGACACCCTGTGAGCAGTGTTCCCTCTAAGCTGAGTTAGTGTGAGCTAACTCACACTTTTTTAGCCTCTGGCTCACACATTTTTGTCTTAGCTCAGGAAGGATGGCTCCGGAGCAAACCAATTTATGCAGCAGCCAAGGCGCTCGCTCACAACTTTAATGCCAGTGGCTCACAAAGGAGAATTTTTGCTCACAGGACTCCACAGCTTAGAGGGAGCATTGCCTGTGAGGGAGGTGGGACTGAGAGAGCTCTTTCGAGAACTACTCTTTCCAGAACAGCTCTGAGAGAACTGTGACACCAGCAGCTGAATGGGGAGGTGTGGGAAATCAAACCTGGCTCTCCCAGATTACAGTCAGCATTCCTAACCAATACACCACCCTAGCCAATGGTGGCCAGGGGTGGAAGGGCATGGAAAGGCAGAATGTGAATGCGTTGGGAGGAGTCTCTGATGAGAGGGGATACCCCGATTATGAGATTGGTGACTTGGAGAGCAGCCAGTGAACGAGGAGAAATATCTTGATGCAAGTTGGAAGTGGGGGGGGGAGTAGGAGAGAAAAATAAGTAGAAAAGGTGTTGCTATGGCAGGCTATTCGGCATCTGGACTTGGCTTCAACTGATGGCCCATTAAGCGAGCTTGCCCCAACACCAAGTATAAACCAAAGCTTGTTTTGAAGCAAGCTCCATCGTTTTGCAGCGATCGCTGCTTCACCCGTTTCAGCCAAGTTATTCATGATGCAGCTAGCTTGACTTTTCCGATAGTGGACGGGAACAACGGCCTGGAGATCTGTCAAGATTATAGTCCAAAATGATTTTCCTGGAAGCTGCGTCATGCACAATGCATAAGGGAAGTCACATGTTCAGGCCAGAGTGAACCCAAGCACTAGGCGGGTCTTCCACATTTACTTCCAATCACTGCAAAGCAGTTCTGATTAGGACTTAAAGTACACACCTTAATGCTTGACTGATGTGCTGAACGTCCTACAGGACTGGTGCTGCTCTGGATATTGGACAGATTTAGGGGAGATATAGATCACTTTATTGTGTAATCAATTACTCAGTTGTGCATTCTGTTGCTACATCAGCTAAGTTTGGAAAATGAAAAGGGAGAAAAGAGTGTATGAAGAATAACCCTTTTTTCCTGACGTTCCCTTGGTGCAGGGACATTTTGATTAACAAGGAAACCTGGGAACTAGTCATGCAAGATCTCGCTGACAAGAGAAGGTAGCTAATGTCACTCCCATCTTTAAAAAGGGTTCCAGAGGAGATCCAGGAAACTACAGGCCAGTCAGTCTGACGTCAATACCGGGTAAATTGGTGGAAACCATTATTAAGGAAATAATTAGTAGGCACATAGATGAACAAAACCTATTGAGGCAGACTTAGCATGGGTTCTGTAAGGGAAGATCTTGTCTCACTAACCTGTTAGTGTTCTTTGAGGGGGTGAACAAACATGTGGACAAGGGGGATCCAATAGATACTGTTTACCTTGACTTCCAGAAAGCTTTTGATAAAGTTCCTCATCAAAGGCTCGTAAGTAAGCTAAAAAATCATGGGATAAAAGGACAAGTCAGGCCAGGGACCAGCAAGTCCTTTTATGGATCAAAAACTGGCTAAGTAATAGAAAACAGAGAGTGAGTATAAATGGGCAATTTTCTCTGTGGAGGGTGGTAAGCAGTGGGGTACCGCAGGGAACAGTACTTGGTCCACTGCTTTTTAACTTGTCCATTAATGATTTGGAGTTGGGAGTAAGCAGTGAAGTGGCTAAATTTGCAGATGATACGAAGTTGTTCCGGGTGGTGAAAACCAGTGAGGATTGTGAGGCACTCCAAAGGGATCTGTCAAGGATGGGCAAGTGGACGTCAACATGGCAAATGGGGTTCAATGTGGCCAAGTGCAAGGTGATGCACATTGGAGCCAAAAATCCTAAATATAAATACACATTGATGGGGTCTGAACTGGCAGAGACAGATCAAGAGAGAGATCTTGGAGTTGTAGTAGATAACTCACTGAAAATGTCGAGACAGTGTGTGACTGCAATAAAGAAGGCCAATGCTATGCTGGGGATTATTAGGAAGGGTATTGAAAACAGATCAGCCAATATAATAATGCCCCTATATAAATCAATGGTGAGACCTCATTTGGAATACTGTGTGCAGTTCTGGGCACCACACCTTAAAAAAGATATTATAGCTTTGGAAAAAGTGCAGAAAAGGGCAACTCGAATGATAAAAGGGTTGGAACACTTTCCCTATGAGGAAAGGTTAAAGCGCTTAGGGCTCTTTAGCTTGGAGAAAAGACGACTGAGGGGTGACATGATCGAGGTTTATAAGATTATGCATGGGAAAGAGCAGGTAAAGAAAGAGGTACTTTTCTCCCTTTCTCACAATACAAGAACCCGTGGGCACTCCATGAAATTGCTGAGCGGTCGGGTTAGAACGGATAAAAGGAAGTACTTCTTCACCCAAAGAGTGATTAACACATGGAATTCACTGCCACAGGAAGTGGTGGGTGCTACAAGCATGGACGGCTTCAAAAGGGAATTAGATAAGCATATGGAGCAGAGGTCCATCAGTGGCTATTAGCCACAAGGTATAGCTAGGGGCTCTGGGGCAAGTGATGCTCTGTCTTCTTGGTGCTTGGGGGGGGGGTCAACAGTGGGAGGGCTTCTAATGTCCTGGCCCCACTGCTGGACCTCCTGATGGCACTGGTGGAATTATAAGGGGTGGGAGTATTGCATACGTTACTGAATTACCTCATTTGTGTTAGATGGTTGTCTGATGAAACTGTTTTTAATCTAAATGGCATTTTGATGTTATGAGATGTCCTTTCTTATTTATTAAAATTAATTTTTTAGAAAAACAAAAACAACACAAGTCAAGGAAGCTATAAAAAAGTAGAGAGGCTTCTTTTAAAAAGTGGGAGGCCCCAACAAATTGAACAGGAGGGACCACAGGCTCTAGCAAAAGAAATGTAAAGTCAATAATGAAGCATGAAAAAAGAGATTTTGAGGAGTGGGTTGCTAAAAGCATCAAGATAAACAATAAATATTTTTTAAGTATGTCCAGAGCAGGAAACCAGCCAGAGAAGCATTGGAGCCTTTGGATGACAAAGGAATCAAGGGATTGCTAAAGGAAGATGGGGAGATGGCAGAGAAGCTCAATGACTTTTCTGCTTCTGTGTTCACTGAGGAAAGTGTGGGGAAGGTACCCATGCCATAGCCCCTATTTTCAGGGTGTCTGAAGAACTGAACCAAATAGAGGTGACAAGAGATGAAGTTCTAGACCTACTGGGGAAATTAAAAACTGATAAGTCTTCAGGTCCTGAAGGCATACAACCAAGAGTTCTTAAGGAACTCTGATGTGAGATAGCTGATCTACTAAACCGTATATGTAACTTCATGGAGCTTGATCTACTAAACCATATATGTAACTTCATGGAGCTGCGGTGGCTCAAGTGGTTAAGACGCTGAACTGCAGGCTGTGGAAGGTCAGTAGTTCAGCAGTTCAAGACCCAAGTGTGCCGCGTGACAGAGTGAGCTCCCGTTTCTAGTTCCAGCTCCTGCCAACCTAGCAGTTCGAAAGCAAGAAATCGCAAGTAGATAAATAGGTACCACTTCAGTGGAAGGTAACAGCATTCCGTGTGCCTTGGTGTTTAGTCATGCCAGCCACATGACCACGGAAATGTCTTTGGACAGCGCTGGCTCTTCGGCTTTGAAACGGAGATGAACACCACAACCCTAGAGTCAGATTTGACTGGCTTTCGAGCAAGGGAACCTTTGCCTTTACCTTTATATGTAACTTATCACTCAATTCAGCCACTGTACCAGAAGAATACAGAGTAGCAAATGTTACAGCAATGTTTAAAAAGGGATCCAGAGGGGAACCATGAAATGCCTAATGTCTGTCCCAGGCAAATTAGCAGAAACTGTACTCAAAGATAGAACTGTTAGGCACATAAAGGGACAAAACCTTGCAGGCAATGTGGGAGCCTTCCTGACCCTGTCAGGCAGGCCGTTCCACCTGGTAGAGGGTGCCAGAGCAAAGGATGCTCAGGTATAGGCAGCTGTCGATCTCATGTGTCCAGGGCTGGCTCCCATCCCTGACTTAGCCCCCCCCCCCCCCTTTTTCCCCCCCCCCCCCCCCGGAGAAGTCACAAACAACCCAGTGCCCCGAGGGCCTTTACCCAGACAGGGAGTGTGACATCCTCCTTATTGGGGAGACAGTTTTTCCTTTAAAATACACCCTGTTCACATACACTTGGTAGATTACTGCTGCCACCAGGAATTAAAAATACCAAATCTCTCTATTATGGTAGAATGACCCTGCGTCTGGGCACTTCAGAGGACTATGTGGCTCCGAAGAAAGACTGTTCTGACTGCTGGGATAAGTTTAAGCAAATCATGATTTATTTATAAAAGAACAAAATAGGTTTCTGGGTATTTTTGAACTGTTGTTGAAGAAAGGAACTTATAAATGTAACTGATAAATCTGGGCATCACACACGGTCTCTCAAAACAGCCAAACTCAACTCTGACAGCCTTAGCCACTCAGGCTAAATTCTGCCTGTCTTAGCCTAACCCTAACCCCAACTCAGGCTAAATTCTGCCTGTCTTAGCCACACAGGATGGACTCAAACTGCTTCTTCTGCCATACAGGCTAAAAACCAAAACTCTCCACACTCGTCTCTCTGAAACTCAGAAGCCCCTCCGAGACACCCCTCCTCCCACATTCTCTGTCATCAGCCAATCACAGCACACTCACCTCCCTCTATCACTCTCCTTACATTCAAACTAAACACTTAAAGAAACACACGCACCAAAACATGAAATCATTACAGGGAGGTAGCAGGGAACCCAGAAACAGAGGCCAGCCCAGCAGGGCAAGCAATGACATGACCCAACAAGGTAGTGCCCCCCCACTGCTAGAGAGGAAGCTGGAGCCCAGGGGCAGCCTGTAAGGGTGAAGGTTGGCAGCCAGGAAGGGCCTTCAAGGCCCTGTGCGGCCAGGGACCAGCATACCTACAGGACTGTCTCTCCCCATATGTGCCCCAAAGAGCCTTACGCTCAGCTGAGCAGCACTGCTTAGCAGTCCCTGGCCCGAAAGACATCCGCCTTGCCCTGGAAGGTTGTGCCCACCAACCCTTGTCAGAATTCCAAAGGTGCCCACAGGCAAAAAAACAAACAACAACAAAAAAAGGTTGGGGTATATAGCAAAAGTCACCTTCAGCCCTCCTCCTTTTTATTTTAAACTTTGAGCTTCTGTCCTTCCCGAAAGCACCCGCAAAGCGGAACAGAGAATGCCCCTACCTTGGCTAAGTCGAGTGGCGTTTTTACTTCCTCCATTGGCTGGTCGGTTTCAATATGAACAGGGGCTTCCTGCTTGTTCCTCCCTTTGCGTCGTCCCTTCTTGGCTTGGTCTCCTGACCGAGGAGCCTCTAACGTATCTAAAAGTTATACAGAAGGCCATACACAAAGGTTGAACAGGAAGGGGTGGGGGGGAACCACAACAGCTTCCACCACTCCATTTCTCCTCCCTCTCATTCCTTGAAATGTTTAGGTAAGCAATAATGCATGGTGTGACACCATCACACGTATGACTTGGCCACATCCCTGCTATACACTATGAGCCATGAATTTAGGACAACACGCAAGCATAATTGTGTCAGGTCATGCACTGTGTTCACTTAAACACTGTGGGAAAGAGAGATATGTGCAGTCCTCTGCAGAGTGACATCTTTCTAAATCTATTGACTTCAGGGGTGTAACTCTGCCTAGGGTTGCACTGTAGGTTTCTCACAACAGCTAGTTGAGCTGATATAGCATAGGGAGCTCCTGAAAACAGCCAAGCACTTTCTTTTTTAAAAAATTATTTTAACAGAAAAAGTAAAAAAAGAGAGATACAATAGAACAGGGGTCCCCAACGTGCTGCCCACCAACACCTTTCCTGGCACCCGACAAATGCTTTCAGAAAGTAGGTGAGGCTAGGTGGGGGTTTTGACCGGCATGGCTTCTGACTGGCTGTGTAGATTAAAAGGCATTCTGTTAAACAGCATTTCTGCCTGAAATGCTGAAGTGTTAGTATTATAGTTATATATAACTTCGGTCCCTGATATTTTGTTGTTGGCTCTGCCTCCTGTAGAAGGAATTTTGTGACTGGCTCCAACTACAGTGGCAGCCAGTTTGCGGTTGTGCTCACTGCCCAGTTTCAGATTTCCAAAGGTGCTCAAAGGCTCAGAAAGGTTGGGGACACCTGCAGTAGAAAACATCACAAAGGATTTAAAAAGTAGAAAGGGATGATCCCCCTTCTTATCTTCACCATTCTTATCATTGCAAAGACAATCCAACTCTCACTAAATGTATCTGATTGTATGCCAGCGTGGCTAAGATAAAAAGCTGACAGGCAACACTTTCAGCTCATCATTGCTGTCATTAAGCATCCTTCAGTATGGCACCAGGAACCAGTGATGCAGTTACCCTGTTTACTTGAAAGGAAAACCAGTGTTAAGGTCTGTTTTCCCCACCCAGAAGTGAAAGACAGGGGGCTGTCTTAAATTCGCATATGAATTACTGTACGGGGATAATTTGAGTGTGTGTGTGTAACCTTTCTTACATTCAGAGTAGGTAATTTTAGACTCTGAACTTAAAGGTGTTACTAGGATGGCACCTTTAGACGGTAATGTATCCTTCTAATTTAAAGCTGCAGTCTGCTTTTGGGGCCCTTCTCGCTGAGCCTGCAAATCAGGGTCCTAGAATTCTCTGCCTCAAAGTTCAGCCCTGACGGCAGCACTGCTAGGAAGCACCTCCATTGAAATCTAATTATTTTCTTTGCTAACACAATTCTGTGGGAATCAGCAACATTCTAATAAAAGGCTGGTTGCTCTGCAGCTTTTTCCCTTCCACTTCCGCTTACCATCTTTTTTCCGATACAGCGGCAATGGGTCGGATGTTGTTGGCTGGCAGGACCTTTGCCATCTGGCGACAAGCTCATCCACAAAGTGCTTCTTCTTGCCATCTGTCCCTTGGACTAGGTCAGCAATGTACTCCCGGATCTCCTCCTCATTCTCGATAGACAAGATGTATCTAAAAAGGGCCAGGAAGGAAGACTGTAGGAGTGCTTTCATACAGAACAAAGGCTATGGCTGTGGTCCCTATTCTGCTAATGTTCCATCTCCCTTCTTCTGCCACTATTTACACAAGGAAACTGCTGTAGCACAGCAGCAATGAGTATGGCTGTACGAAGCAAGAACACTATAGAACAGCAGTCTTCAATCACTTCCGCTGGGTTGTGAGACAGATCATTTGACTTCTCTGTGTAAAGAAGAGGAAGACGAGATTGGATTTATACCCTTCCCTCCACTTGGAATCTCAGAGCATCTTACAATCTCCTTCCCTTCCTCTCCCCACAACAGACACCCTGTGAGGTAGGTGGGGCTGAGAGAGCTCTTTGAGAACTGCTCTTGAGAGAATAGCTCTGAGAGAACTGTGGCTTGCCCAAGGTCACCCAGCAACTACATGTGGAGGAGTAGGAAATCAAACCTGGCTCTCCCAGATTAGAGTCCATGCTCCTAACCACTACACCAAAATAGAAGCCATCCATACAGAAAACCTGCCAAGTACAATGGTTACTTTCAATTCTGAAAATATCTTGTCTAGTACCAAAAATTCCCAGGTTTTGCCATATCATGGGGAAAGGCAAGCGGGCAGGCAGACTGGGTATTTCCATCATGCCGCTGTACATTCTAGCATTTAAAGCATCCGACTATGACCTGGGAGGAGAAGAAGAAGAAGGAGATTGGATTTATACCCCGCCCTTCACTACCCAAAGGTGTCTCAGAGCAGCTTACAAACTCCTTTCCCTTCCCCTCCCCACAACAGACACCCTGTGAGGTAGGCGGGGCTGAGAGAGCTCTTGACAGAAACTGTTATTTTTTCAAGGTTTTCAAGGAGACAGGTTCAAATTTCTACTCTGGCGTGAAGCTTGGCTGGGTGACTTTGGGCCTTTCCTCTCTCTCTCAGCCTCATCTGACATAGGTTGTTGTAAGGATAAAATGGAGGGGCACAGAACAAGGCTTCATTGTCCTGAGCCCCCTGGAGCGAAGGCAAGCCAAAAATGTGTTATATAAGGCTGCCAACTCTGCCTTGGGAAATTCCTGGAGATTTAGGACTGATGCTTGAGGAGGGATCTCCTCAGGGGGGATGTGATGTCATAGAGTCCACCCTCAGAAGCTGCCTTTTCCTCCAAAGGGGCTGATCTCCGTAGACTGGAAAGCAGTTGCAACTCTGAAAGAACTCTAGCCCACCCCCGCGAGGGTTGGCAACCCTATTTGGTACCGATATTGTCTAACTCCTGCGCCTTCAACTAACAGCTGGACGACAGGCAGGAATTCAACAGGTCAGCCTTCCTCTCCTGTTGAATGTCTGCCTGTTTCCTCAAGTGAAGGAAAGTTAGATGGCGTATCTCGTTGGAACACACCAGGAGCGTAGTTATCCTGCCTCACAAGGCTGCCTCTTCTCCTGCCACTGACGGCCGTCCTACCGACGTTACAAGAGCGCTTGACAGGAGACTAGGCGACAAGGCCCAGCCCGACCCACCAGCCCGGGCCCTCCCGAGTCTTTCCTCCCGCTGCTTACTGGACAAGCTCCTCGCCAACATCTAGTCCGAAACCGCCGCGGAGCTGTTCCATGCACCAAATCATGAGCCCCCCAGACGCCGCCATCGCCGCTTCTGCCGGTTACCGATCGGAGCCGGGGGGGAAGGAAATAGCCGGTGCACCTCCTCCGCCAAAGCCAGGAGAACCTCGGCGCAACGCGCTCTTTCTTTCGGCTAACAACCGTAGCCATTTGACTCAACAGTTCCGGGCTCAATCGATCCGCCATCCCTATAAGCGTCCCGGGGCTTTGGGCTCGCTAATACGAAGATACAGTTAACTTCCCTTGCATATAGATCCAGGTGGGCAGCCGTGTTGGTCGGAAGCAGGAGAACAGGGTTTGTAGTCATGCCGGCCACATGACCACGGAAATGTCTTCGGACAGCGCTGGCTCTTCGGCTTTGTAACGGAGATGAGCACCGCAACCCTAGAGTCGGATTCGACTGGCTTTCGAGCAAGGGAACCTTTACCTTTACCTTGAATAAAACTTTGTCGGTCTTAAAGGTGCCACTGAATTCAACCTTTGTTCCCTTGCAAATGTTCGTTTGTTTCCTGGAAATATACTCTTTCCTGTTTACACGGAGGAATCCTTATTTATAAAGGTACCCACCGTCTCCAACCATAAGAAGCCGATGTTAAAACAATTAAAAGATAGGCTCAAGTTGCGGATTCCCATTCTGTACGGCTAAATGTGGTGCCTCCCATGGAGGTAGATCAAGATGGGTAGCCGTGTTAGTCTGTAGCAGGAGAAAAGAGCAAGAGTCCAGTAGCACCTTAACACGATATTTTAGACTATTGTATCATTAACTGCATATGACCTTTGTATTTCCTTGCCTGTCAGTTTTAATACGACATGCCAATAAAGGTTTGATTGATTGATTGACTCAATATCTTTGTTTAAATCAGGCTCCACATTTGATTATAACCCCCATAGAAGTAGGATTTGGATTCTAGACTTTTAACTGTAATGACTGAAGAACAAGGATGTGATGGTTATCTTGTTTATTTCTCCTCTGTGTTATTCTTAGAACGTTAGGCTAAGAGTGTATGACTGGCCCCAGGAAACCCATTAAACTTCCAAGGCTGAATGGGGATTTGAACCTGAGTTTGCGCTCTAACCACTACACACATGTTGGTTTGTACCCAATCTGTTTAGACAATAGAATGCCCGGGAACTTTGTAGCTAACTTAACAGTCTGATTGGAAATCAATGTGTCAAGTATTTAGCATATTGGTTTCTCCTTCCTGTCTTTGTTCTGATTGAAGAAGGAGACACCACCATTCCTCCTGTTTACCTGTAAGGATGTAGCCATTTTAGCTCTTTCTTATTTTCATATCCTGTGTATCTTTTCCCATGTTGTTGATAGTAAACTCTTATATTTTAAACACACCATGGACTCAGTCTCTTAATACTTACTCTGCTGACTTACTTAATAAGAATCCCAACAATACCCCACCTTTTACTACCCAAAGGAGTCTCAGAGCGGCTTACAATCTTCTTTCACTTCCTCTCCCCACAACAGACACCCTGTGAGGTAGTTGGGGCTGAGAGAGCTCTTTCTAGAACTGCCCTTGAGAGAACAGCTCTGAAAGAACTTATGACTGACCCAAGGTCACACCAGCAGCTGCATATGGAGGAGTGGGGAATCAAACCTGGTTCTCCCAGATTAGAGTCCGCGCTCCTAATGACTACACCAAACTGGCTCTCTGAAAGACTGAGCTATCTGGAGAACAGGGGTCATTAACATCTACCATGTGGGCAGCAGGCAGAATTGTAGCTCTTTTTAAATTATAGTACTTATTTGTAAATTTGCATTTTTGAATTTGAATGTTCAAATGCATATTTTTGTCTTCTTTTTCCTTCTTTTAGAGGGCTCTTGTCCTCTCCTTTGGCCTCTCTACCAAAGGAAAAGGTGAGTTCACACTAACATTAAAAGAAAAGAGCAAGAGTCCAGGAGCACCTTAAAGACCAACCAAATTTGTGGCAGGGTAGGAGCTTTTGTGGGTCACTGCACTGAGGTATCTTCAGCAGTAGAAAAGAGCAGGAGTCTTAACGTAGCACCTTCAAGACTAACAAAATTTGAGGCAGAGTAGGAGCTTTTGTGATTCACCGCTCACTTCTTCAGATACATCTAGAATGATCTAACATTAGAAGAGCATAGGGAACTAGCTAAGGAATTTATGAACAAGGAAATGACCAAATAAGCAGGGCTATTTTGGGGCAGGAACGCACAGGAACGGAGTTCTGGCTGGCTCCCGAGTTGGCCACACCCAGCAGGAACTTGTTAGCATAATAGGCCACACCCAACAGCAGAAACTTATTGGGACTGGCTACAGTAGGGGTGTGTGGCCTAACATGCAAAGGAGTTCCTGCTACCAAAAAAAGCCCTGGGTTTTGGCAACAAACAAGGTAAACAGAATATAAGAAGCAAAAGGTGAGTGTGTCTGGATGACCACACGTCTGCGAACATGGGGTGTGTAGCTTAATATGCCAATGAGCTGTGCAGTCAGGGGTGTGGCCTAATAAGCATATGAATTTCTGCTGTTGGGTGTGGCCTATTATGCTAATGAGTTCCTGCTGGGCTTTTTCTACAAAAAAAGCCCTGCAAATAAGGATAAGGAGAGCATACAGGAAAAGGACAAAGACAAGGAGAGCATACAGGAAGAACGTATAGGGTATAAATGTTAACGTACAGAGCTTCCTGACATGTACCTCTGGACATGCACAGAGTGAAAAGGAAGAGAAAGTATGTATGGGAATGAAAAAGAGAGGAGGAAGAAAAAAAGCAAAGAGAGCAAACGATGCAGAGGGAAGCTGACAATGGAGTGCGATGCCACCAAGAACAAAGCGCCCCCCTCACAACTTCTTACCCTCGTGCCGCTCCTGTGGCAACAGAACCTGGAAACTTGCCGTTCCAATATTCTGTGCAAGGTTGAAAAAACGATCCACTAGGTGCTGGGAAGGTCTTCCTGCCTTCCTTTCCCTCTAACCTTTGCAGAGTGGCTAGTGGGCTGCTACACTTCTTACCCTCGTGCCGCTCCTGTGGCAACAGAACCTGGAAACTTGCCGTTCCAATATTCTGTGCAAGGTTGAAAAAACGATCCACTAGGTGCTGGGAAGGTCTTCCTGCCTTCCTTTCCCTCTAACCTTTGCAGAGTGGCTAGTGGGCTGCTACGCTGGCACTCGTGAAGGACAAAGAGCTCGCACGCCGTCCTCCCACCCCACCCGTCA